CTAGTTATAGAGCGCATGAAAGAGTTTCCAGCAGTTACCTCGGCAGCCCCTGGCCGCCACAGCACACAGCTGCATGGGGTGAGCATGCTGGCCAGTTTATCTGCGTGTGCAGGATTTGCACAGATTCACAAAAGTTTAGAGCTGGAAGGGACCTCATAAGATCATCAGGTCCAGCCCCCCTGCTCTAGGCAGGAAAGGCTGCTGGAGTCAAATAACCCCAGTAGGGTCCACATCCAGTCTCCTTTTGAAGATCTCCAGGGTATGTGCCTGCACCGCTGCGCTGGGAATCTCTTCCAGAGTCTGGTTGCATGAGCTGTGAAGAAGTTTTTCCTTACACCCAGTCTGAAACCTCCTTCTAGCAGTTTATAACCATTGCTCCTGGCTTTCTCCTGGGGTGCTTTGGTGAATTGTTGTTCGCCTAGCCTCTGATGCTGTTCTCTGACATATTTGTAAGCTGCCACCAAATCCCCCCAAAGTCTTTTAGTTGGTAGGGTAGGGTCAGAAGGGACCTGAGCAGATCATCAAATCTGACCCCCTGCCATGGCAGGAAAGAGTACTGGGGTCAGACAACCCCGGCAAGGTGTTCATCTAGGGTCTTCTCTTTTCTAGGTTGAACGGTCCTATCAGCCTTTCCTCATGGCTTACTCTTCAGGCCTGTAATCATATGAATGGCTCTTCTCTAAACTCTCTCAAGCTTCTCCACATCCTTGTTGAAGTGCGGTGCCCAAAACTGGACACAGTACCCCAGTTACAGCCTCACCAAAGCCGAGTAGAGCAGGAGAATAACTTCCTTAGTTTTGCTGGAGATGCATCGGTTGATGCATGCCAGTGTATTGTTTGCTCTGCTAACTAACATCACACTAGTGGCTCCTACTCATTTTATGCCCCATGTCCCTTTCAGATGTGGTGCTAGCTAGCATAGCACCACCAAGCCTGTAAGTTTGTTGTGGGTTTTTCCTCCCCAGGTGGAGCACTCTACACTTCTCAGTGTTGAACAGCATCTGATTCTGGTCCTCCTATTTAACTAATCTGTCTAGGTCTGTCTAGATCATCAACCTGTCTTGATGTGTGACAACACTTCACCAAAGTTTAGTGTCATGGGCGAACTTTGACAGTGTGCATTTCAGTCCCACATCCAGATTGTTGATGTAGATGTTGAAAAGCACTGGTCCAAGTACCGAACCCTGGGGGACCCCACTGACTACCTTCTGCCAGGTCAACACAGATCTGTCTGTTAGTACTCTGGCTCTGACCCCACAGCCAGTTTCCCACCCATCTGACTGTTGAATTGTTGAGCCCATAGTCTCCTAGTTTTACCCTGAGAGCCTCATGGGACACCAAGTCAAAGGTCTTCCTAAAGTCCAAGTACATGATGTCAACTTCATTGCCCTTATCCAGGTAGTGAGTAACCTGTTCATAGAAGGAGATGAGGTTAGTCAGACATGACCTACCCGTGACAAAACCGTGCTGGCTGTCATTCAGAATTTTGCCTTATATTAGCTTATCATATATAGACTCCTTGAGACCTTTTTTTGAGGATTTTTTCTGGGATTGAGGATGTGCCAGCTCCTTGCATGTGCAGAAGTGGTGCTTGGCAGTGCCTTGTAACCACATGGAGGTGGTACCGGGAGAGCAGCTGAACTCCCTGGCATTGCACAGTAACTTGGGCCATTTTTGAATGGCTGTGGAGAGCCCCTGCTCCCAGAACTGCTTTGCGTGCTCTTCCCGCTTCTCCGGCATGTGGGGAGCTTGTGCATCTGCTCCCTGGGCTGTGGTTGGTTTGAGGCTAAACACAGCTCTGTTGTATCTGGGAGCTGTGTCGGTGTCTGCCACTCACACTAGTGGAAGTTTTGAGAGCAGGGGAAGGCTAGGGAGTCTGAGGATAGAGGTGTGAGCCTGGAGCCTGTGGCCTGGCTGAGAGGTTGGACAGATGGCTTCCCTCCTGGGGGGAGCGGGGATCTCTGACAGGGACGTGTCTCGTCTCAGCTTAGATCAGAGCTCAGCTCAGTCTGGGCCCAGAGCTGCTGATCAGGGTGGAGGTGGAGGGATGAGGGGAAAGGAGTGGGGGTCTTCCAGCCAGGCTCCACTCAGGTCATCTCTTTACAGACAGTCATTAACCAGCTTATCCTGAGGTAACAAGCCTAAGTATGGGAAGTCATACAGAGCTGTTTGAGCCAGTTCACTTGCAGGCAGAAACTTTATGGTTAAGTGGAAAATCCCTAGGTGCATCCCCTGTGGCATGGTCCACAGGAGCACGGTGTTTTGATGCCCTGCCCGAGGCCACCATACTTGGCAGGGGTCTTGGCAGATCTTTCCTGAGCCCTGGCAAAGAGCAGTGTCCTGAGGGCAAACCTCTTCCACAGTCACCTCTCTTGGTTGTTGTTGCTTCTGAGACTGCTGACATGTCTGTCTGTTAATAGGAGGCTTTTCTGTCCCCTTCCCCCTGCAGCAGATGCACTGGTCATAGAATCACAGAATCAGTGAGTCAGGAGGGATCTGGACAGATCATCTAGTCCGACCCCCTGCCATGGGCAGGAAGGAGCACTGAGGGTGGCAGGGGTCATAAGACCTCAGCCAGGTGCCTGTCCAGTCTCCTCTTGAAGATTTCGAGGGAAGGTGAGAGCACCACCTCTCTGGGAAGCCTGTTCCAGGCTCTGGCCACCCTTACCGTGAAGTAGTTCTTCCTAATATCTAACCTAAACCTCTCCTCCCTCAGCTTGTGGCCATTGTTCCTGGTGACCCCAAGGGGGGCCCTGGTGAACAGACTTTCCCCGAGTCCCTGCTGCTGGCCCTGATAAGGTTGTAGGCAGCCACAAGATCCCC